CTGATTTGGAAAAATTCTCCTACTTACCTCACTTTTCAGTACAGCTATGCTGTCCTAGATTGTTCACTTCTCCGGCCTTCTCCAAACTCTTCACCCTTCTGTGAATAACCCTCCTTGGCTTTCTCACAGCAGAAAGCTACATGCACATAGAGCTGATACCTCAATGGTATTAATGGGACATGTGCTAAAAGAAACACAGAGGCTGCCATTGCTAGAAAAAATGCTAGTTGCCTGACGGCCATCATGATCCGATGGTTGCAATGCTTTCACTGCCATTGAACAAGCAACGATTGATGTCAGAAATCCCGACCTGCATTGATATCCTGGGCCATCGACTTAAAGAGGACTAAGGCCTGGTTCACACCTGGGCGTTTTACAGCACGTTCCTACACGCTGTGAAACGCTCAACATGTGAAAACCAATAATTGCCTTTGGGTATGGTTCCTACCTGGGCGTTTTACAGCACCTAGGAACGCGCTGTAAAACGCCCTACGCCCAAAGAAGTACAGGAGCTTCTTTGGGGCGTATTTTCCGCGCGATTCCCTGGTTATTCCCAAGTGTGGATCGGGGTTAACAAAGCGGTAACCCTGAGCCACACTCTGGAATACAGCGTACAGGTCTTACCTTGTCCGTTATCCCCGCTGTGTCCTCCGGCGGCTGCCGACTTCCCGGTTCCGTCCCTTGCGAGCGGCCACGTCGCAGGGGGTGGAGCAGGCGGGAAGTTTGAAAGTGAAAAAATAAATAAAAAATAGAGAAAATAAGGAAGAAAAAAACCCCAAAAAATCATACCGCCAGTGAAACGCGGTATGAACGGAAAAGCGCGGTATGAAACAAAAAAACGAGCTGATAAACGAGCTAAAAAAATAGGCTCGTGTGTAAACCCAGCCTAAAGGGTTCTGAGTGTATCTTCTGAACGCCGGCCCCTAGACCAAATTGAACTGTTAACCCTTGCAGTGCCTCCTTGTGCAGGGTGACTGGTCTTGTCTCCACCTAGGGTTGCCACCTGTCCAGAATTCACCCGGACAGTCCGGGTTTTGAATGCTGTGTCCGGGTTTCATGGCAGCAGAAACCCGGACACAAGATGTCATGCAGACAGGAGCAACTAAACTTAAGATAGGGGCTTCTGTCCCCCCACTAAAAATAGTCTTGACTGTGATATTTACTTATGAATGGGTGACGCTATTTACATATGAATGAGCCGCAACCCATTCTCCCCCAAAAAATTCCGTGCGTCGCTAGAGTGTTCGGGTTTTGCTAGAAGAAAAGGTGGCAACCCTATCTCCGCCTCCTGCTGTAGTTTTCTGCAGGCAGCCTGCCGTGGGTGGAGCTGCTTGGCCCCTCCCACAGCTCCACTCCCTGTACAACCTATGTACAGCACAGTGATGATGTCACTGATACTTTTGTTATGGCAATATCTGGTTTTGCAACTGTATTTAGTGCACACAAAGAGGATTTATGTCATTGAGGATTATGTTTGAATGGTTTTGTGCCCGGAGTTCAGCTTTAAATGGATCATCGACCTAAACTTGTTACACAGATGACACACATTAAGTTTCTCTACCAACTTCTTTCCATACAATAAGAGCGCGCTTTTATAGAAGCAGCCGTCCCCGTCCTCCTGTTGGTATTTGTCTATGTTCTGCTTTATCTGTTCCGTGTTATCGAATAGAACAAACATCGCTTTACAAATATTGTGCAGAGATTACACTGACGATTCCTTGGACCATTTCTTGTTCGGCGGTTTCATTACCAGAAGTCAGATTATGCAACTTGATCCTGTAAAGAACTGCAGCAATGAAGAAAAACCAGTGCCATTGTATTACGTGTTTAACCCTTTCGCTGCTGAGGCTTTTTTTTTTTTTTTCTTCAACATTTTTTCAACATATGCTATAATCAGTATTTGGAAAATACTTAACCCCTCCCCCCCCCATGAGAGTTATCTATTTACTGAAAGCACAGACCTGGGAAAATAAAATGGTGGCAGTTGCAAATTTGTATGTGGCATGATGTTAGCGCATGTCTTTATCATACCAAAAAATTCAGTAAAATGTTCAGAATGCAAAGATGAACTGTTCCGCTGGTTGTCATACCCTACCACTCATCTCCTTCACTTATTTCTCTAATCATCATCATACTCCTCTCCTGTACATACTGCCCACTGTAATACCCTCCACACTCCTTTCCTGCCCTGTCATACCCTCCACCCTCCTCTCCTGCCTATACCTCCCTCTGTCATACCCTCCACCCTCCTCTCCTGCCTATACCTCCCTCTGTCATACCCTCCACCCTCCTCTCCTGCCTATACCTCCCTCTGTCATACCCTCCACCCTCCTCTCCTGCCTATACCTCCCTCTGTCATACCCTCCACCCTCCTCTCCTGCCTATACCTCCCTCTGTCATACCCTCCACCCTCCTCTCCTGCCTATACCTCCCTCTGTCATACCCTCCACCCTCCTCTCCTGCCTATACCTCCCTCTGTCATACCCTCCACCCTCCTCTCCTGCCTATACCTCCCTCTGTCATACCCTCCACCCTCCTCTCCTGCCTATACCTCCCTCTGTCATACCCTCCACCCTCCTCTCCTGCCTATACCTCCCTCTGTCATACCCTCCACCCTCCTCTCCTGCCTATACCTCCCTCTGTCATACCCTCCACCCTCCTCTCCTGCCTATACCTCCCTCTGTCATACCCTCCACCCTCCTCTCCTGCCTATACCTCCCTCTGTCATACCCTCCACCCTCCTCTCCTGCCTATACCTCCCTCTGTCATACCCTCCACCCTCCTCTCCTGCCTATACCTCCCTCTGTCATACCCTCCACCCTCCTCTCCTGCCTATACCTCCCTCTGTCATACCCTCCACCCTCCTCTCCTGCCTATACCTCCCTCTGTCATACCCTCCACCCTCCTCTCCTGCCTATACCTCCCTCTGTCATACCCTCCACCCTCCTCTCCTGCCTATACCTCCCTCTGTCATACCCTCCACCCTCCTCTCCTGCCTATACCTCCCTCTGTCATACCCTCCACCCTCCTCTCCTGCCTATACCTCCCTCTGTCATACCCTCCACCCTCCTCTCCTGCCTATACCTCCCTCTGTCATACCCTCCACCCTCCTCTCCTGCCTATACCTCCCTCTGTCATACCCTCCACCCTCCTCTCCTGCCTATACCTCCCTCTGTCATACCCTCCACCCTCCTCTCCTGCCTATACCTCCCTCTGTCATACCCTCCACCCTCCTCTCCTGCCTATACCTCCCTCTGTCATACCCTCCACCCTCCTCTCCTGCCTATACCTCCCTCTGTCATACCCTCCACCCTCCTCTCCTGCCTATACCTCCCTCTGTCATACCCTCCACCCTCCTCTCCTGCCTATACCTCCCTCTGTCATACCCTCCACCCTCCTCTCCTGCCTATACCTCCCTCTGTCATACCCTCCACCCTCCTCTCCTGCCTATACCTCCCTCTGTCATACCCTCCACCCTCCTCTCCTGCCTATACCTCCCTCTGTCATACCCTCCACCCTCCTCTCCTGCCTATACCTCCCTCTGTCATACCCTCCACCCTCCTCTCCTGCCTATACCTCCCTCTGTCATACCCTCCACCCTCCTCTCCTGCCTATACCTCCCTCTGTCATACCCTCCACCCTCCTCTCCTGCCTATACCTCCCTCTGTCATACCCTCCACCCTCCTCTCCTGCCTATACCTCCCTCTGTCATACCCTCCACCCTCCTCTCCTGCCTATACCTCCCTCTGTCATACCCTCCACCCTCCTCTCCTGCCTATACCTCCCTCTGTCATACCCTCCACCCTCCTCTCCTGCCTATACCTCCCTCTGTCATACCCTCCACCCTCCTCTCCTGCCTATACCTCCCTCTGTCATACCCTCCACCCTCCTCTCCTGCCTATACCTCCCTCTGTCATACCCTCCACCCTCCTCTCCTGCCTATACCTCCCTCTGTCATACCCTCCACCCTCCTCTCCTGCCTATACCTCCCTCTGTCATACCCTCCACCCTCCTCTCCTGCCTATACCTCCCTCTGTCATACCCTCCACCCTCCTCTCCTGCCTATACCTCCCTCTGTCATACCCTCCACCCTCCTCTCCTGCCTATACCTCCCTCTGTCATACCCTCCACCCTCCTCTCCTGCCTATACCTCCCTCTGTCATACCCTCCACCCTCCTCTCCTGCCTATACCTCCCTCTGTCATACCCTCCACCCTCCTCTTCTGCCCATACCTCCCTCTGTCATACCCTCCACACTCCTCTCCTGTCCATACTTCCCTCTGTCATACCATCCACACTCCTCTCCTGCCCATACCTCCCTCTGGCATACCCTCCACACTCCTCTCCTGTACATTAGGGTTGCCACCTGTCTAGGATTCACCTGGACAGTCCGGGTTTTGAATGCTGTGTCCGTGTTTCATGGCAACAGAAACCCGGACACAAGATGTCAGGCAGACAGGGGCAACCAAAATGAAGATAGCGGCTACTGGCCCGCCCACTGAATATAGTCTCAACTGTAATATTTACATATCAATGGGTGGTGCTAATTACATATGAATAAGCCACAACTCATTCTCCCCAAAAAAATGTCTGCGCGTCGCTAGAGTGTTCGGGTTTCACTTGAAGAAAAGGTGGCAACCCTACTGTACATACTATCTGATGTGATTTCATTCACATTATTTTTCTGCATATATTGCCGCCTAAGATACTTCTTTATCATTGTTTGTTACATCTCCAACCTCTCCCATCCTGGAGCCGGCACACATTTTCTAATTTATTGTAGAAATAGAGAAAACAATATACAAAGCCAACTTGCAGCACCTTACACTGTACCCATCAGTATCACTCTAGTGGTATCACTCACCTGTCAAAGTGTTTGGATGTTTTTGTGTGGGGAGTTGCACAAGTTCGTACTTTCCCCCCGCTGCTGCTTTTGGCTTTTGTCCCAGTTACTGATTAATGGGATTGTTTGCTAAAAGCCTTAATCCTGTATAACCCTGGTCCAGCGGGGACTGAGCACAGTAGCCTTCCTGCATCATGAAGAGAGGAGTACTGTGCCTCATACTGGTCGCCCTACTGACGAGAGCCTACGCACAGTTACCGTGAGTGATACCACACCAATAGCACTGATCATGTCACCGTCTACAAAGAGATGGGTTCACATTGGAGTTACACTGGTCTATAGTAAAGATGAGAGGAATAATTGACTTTGCAGTGGAATTGAAATGCAGAAACTCCAAATTCCACTCATTGAGCTGCAATTTACTCCATTTTAACTTTCTCTAGAGTTATGGGTTTTTTTTGGGGGGGGGGCTGTAATTGTGGTATTTTAGTTTATTTCATTTAATGTTCATTGTAGTTGTGCGATTTCTTTCATTTTTATTGTTTATTTGCTTTCTTTTTTGTCTTACTGGGGAAAAAACACCAAATAATGAGGGGCATTTACTGTTTATTGCAGCACACAATTGAAAGTTATGTTCAAGTGTATTCAACAAGAGTGCTGAAACCCATTGTTTGGACTTCTATGTATTTGAAGGCTAAAAGACCAATTGCATCCTGTGAAGAGGCACATGTGCTTCCCAGCCATTGACTGAGAGAGAGAGAGAGAGAGAGAGAGAGAGAGAGAGAGAGAGTTATGCTGGCCACACACATATCAATTTAGCATCAACTTTTTTTGCAGTTGAGAATACTTCATTTGACGATGCAGGATTGTGTTTCCTGTTTAAATCCGACACGGCCATCCCTATGGCTATTGCCTCGGCGGTATTTCTTTGGGTCACCTGGGGGAGCGGGCGGCGGCAGGCAGAGGGAGAATCTCATTTAAAGATGTACAAAAATGGAAGGTGAATTATCATTAAGGTGATAACAAACATGTTGAGAATGCAGGTTTATCCTATAGGTGCCTGAAAGGTTGGTTGCTAGGACTCAGGCGCAGGCACACCATAACACCCAAAGACGCTGTAGAGCTGCTAGTGTCTAAACAACCGTTGACACCGTGAGGCTCATCCGCCAGTCCACATAGTTTTGTTAGTTGCTTGGGCACAGGCGATGGTTCAGCGGGCAAGCAAACTTGTCAACTATGGTGCAACCCGCCTGCATCCTAGCAACTAGTGGCCCTGTGCGGCTCAGCCACTAGTCAACCAATGACACTGTGATGTTCATCTGTCAGTCAGCCAATGACGGTATGAGGCTCAGCTGCCAGTCAACCAGTGACGCTGCACAGACAATAGTCTAGCTGGTAGGAGAACTGGCCACTTGTTAGGGTGCATCCTGTATCCTAGCAACCAGTGACACTGTGCAGCTCAGCCTCCAGTCCACCAATGATGCTGTGCAGGTCAAACATCATCATTGGTTGTGAAGACACAGGCAGAGGTTCAATGGCCTGGCAAACTGTCCAAATTGTTCGCCCATTCAACAAACTGTGGACAACTTTGGTTCAGGTCGAACTCATGGTTGACCCAAAGCTCATCCCTGGTATCCACACTCGGTGTATTCATCCACTCTTTGTCCTGGTGACCATTGTTTCAGTACAGAAGTGAAGAGAAATACAATATCTGACGTGATGAGGTCAGCGGGGCTTGGACTGCCGGAGCCCGGTGGAGAAGAGGCCGTGGGGGCCTTTGAGTTGTCACAGGAACAGAAGGCAAGACAAAACCTTACAATAGGGAGACCTGTTCCTGTGACAACTGTCTAAAAAGGGAATTCACCTCACTTGAAGAGATTTCATCTTCCTTCTTATTGCTTCTTCAGCAATGGAAGAGAATGTCCCCGATGGAATAATGACAGCAAAAAATAAACTGACAGGGGTTGTAATCATTCCCTACTCTAGCCATAACAAAAAAAATAAAAGATCAGGCTTTAATTTCACTTTAACTGGGGTTGAGACACTAGCAGCATGTCTGGGAAGTCCTCCCCCACCCCTCACCCCTGGGGCCCCAAATATTTTGGTCAGATCATACATGTACATGAATCCACCTTCTGAGGTCTGCTGGAGGCTTTAAACTTACCGTGCTTGGTACAACTTTTTCATCAGATCCGATTAAGATTCAGTGTATTCATTCAATGTTCAGTTTCATGAACAAAATCAAACTTGAACTGCAGAAAATTGGCAAATGTTGGCTGGAATGACTGGTGGCAGAAGAACAATGTCTGCAGATGGAGGTTAGCAAGAAATGTCATCAATATGAATGTGTTCAATGAATAACAATGAGTATAGAGTGGAATTGCTTTGAGATGTGTGTAAAACGTGCTGTACACATATGGTTGGGATCATGAACGATTTCCAAAATTGCGTCCTTAATTGGTCAGAGCAGTTGATAGCATCTTAGTGCCATTGGGATTTTTATGGAGGTCACCAACTCGTTCATTCAATCAATTTTTTTTGCAGGCTGGATGAAAGATCAGCTGGTGTTTGGCCAGGAAACTAATTGATCTGCAGTCCTCTGTTTACTACTAAGCTCATTTCAACATGTCCGTAAATATTGACCGTAGGGTTTAGGGCAGTAAGGATTGGACATTCCAGCAATGAGGGACTTTAGGAAGAATAGAACAGGATGGAGAGTTAATTGCTCTTATGGTATGGAGCAGAAGGAAAGTGTAAGGAGATCAGAGAAACAATAGAATGCCACACTATCACTAAAAAAGGGATTTTACATTTAAATGAGGGGTGTAAAGTAAATCCTTTGAGGTAATTGAGAATGGGTGGCGGGGGGGCGGGTAACTGCCTGGCTGTTGTGTTGACTCTTTAGCTTCAGTATTTATTTGAGCCACTGACCCAAAACAAGTACACAGATCAGATAAGTCAAAGTAAATCTAGAACTCCTTACTGTATACTTGTTTTAGGATAGTGGCTTGAAGTATTGAAATATTACGATCACTTGTGGCAGCGGGCCATATTACCCTCTGGAAAGCTGTGCTTTGATATCTAACTGAAGTGGGAATCTCAGCAGCTTTCCTCGATCCCACCTGGCTGCTGGACCGATCCCCACCAGGCTCCGGTAGTCCAAGCCCCACTAACCTCATCCCCCAAGATCCAGGTTCATTCACCTGCATTAGATGTGAGGATGGCAAGGGACATACCACAGCTGGAGTGAAGTGGGAGAGAGGTGAGCACTCACCGCCGCAGGATCGAGAATCAAATAAGTATATCTTCTTTATTCCGGCCCCTAGAGAAAAATGAGCAGTTAACCCTTACAAAAGTTGCAACAAAAAAAGTGAAAGTAGATTTTTCTTTATGGAACACTATGATTTAGTAAGGGGAGTGAGTAGGAACCTTTATTCTGTTCTGAATGAAAGGTAGATACATGGATTTCAGGCCAGTTAAGAACCAGGTCTATAGAACTTTAGGGGACCTTGCTAGCTAAATATAGAAAGAAATGAGAAAAGGAAAAATGTGCTTGTGTGTGTCTATGGAGAGAAAAGCACTTCTACACTTCTTTATAACATTATTATTAGAACCAGTGGCGTAACATTAGCCATAGCGGCCCATGCGGCTGCTATGGGCCCTGGGGGTGGAAAGGGGCCCCAATAAGGATTGCAGAAGTTACTGTTGACACTTAAATTATTAACAGTAGGGAGGTTGCTGGGGGTCCCAATCAAAATGTTGCTATGGGGCCCCGTGATCTGTGGTTTAGCCCCTGATTTGAACCCTCGTTTTTTCTTTATTTCCTGGTTTCCATTGGGGAGATTTGCCTTTACTTTCTGACCACGAGACAAAACAGTAAGTGAGTGTAAGTAGTGTCCGTGCAGTCTGAATAAGGAGGTATCATACTTCTTATTAAGGCAGTGATGTCACACAAGACCTCCACAACCATAAAAGTGGCATAACAATTTGGATCCTTCCGAGTTGCATGCGTGGGGTGCCCACGCTCCCTAGAAGCTTTTGCTACCTAAATTGGAGGCTCACTGTCCATTATGCAATGACCTGAATGAACTAATAAATAGTCCTACTGGACCACTTTACCAGTTCATTGGGCAAAGCAAAAACCATCTGGTTTGCCTGAATCTGTGACTTGTGGCCAGTACAAGGTCAAGTTATGGTGGCACTCCATGGATTCTCCATAATTGCAGAATAAATAACTGAGTAGTCTATGTGCAAGACAGTGATGTTTCATGCATGGTTGGTCTTGTGAGAGAGAAAGGAGACATAACGTCCTGTGAAAAAATATAGCCAATGGGTCTTCGTGGAATGTTTGTGTATGGGCAGTCTTTAGGTCTCTCCATCGATAATCTGGACAGCTTTTAACAGCCATGCCCAAGACTGTTCCATTTTGGGTGGTATTAGCCTTTATTATTACCTTTTTTGACCTCTAAAGATTGCTTTAGGCAACCATAATGTTGGGATATTCAATTTACAACATACTGTGAAGGGTTGCACTTTAGACAGAGGCAAAAGGTCCAGGTTCTAAAACAAAACTGAAGCTGTTTATTCCAAGCAAGAGTAACATAAATTGGAGACGGAATCCAGCCATAAAGGAAAGGTAAGCAAAGATCTGCTCGAATGTGCCTTAGCAGGGCCAGATTTACTCTCTCTGCTGCCCAACGGAGAGGTTCCTCAATGCGCCCCCCTCCCCAACTAACAACCCCCCTTCTCCAATTGAGAATGGCAAAAAGATGGTGCAGGCGGCAGGTTAAGTTTAAATTTCTTAATTTTTTTTTACTTTATAATTTTTTTATTATCTCGCTGTTAACACGGAGCAGAGCGGAGAACCGACGTTCTCCACTCTACTCCCCGCTCTCCATCCTGAAGATCTTCAGAGAGAGGTACACGGCCGGGGCCTCGTTGGCCTTGCGGGAAATCCCTACTTTAAGGTAATTTCCCTTTCTGGGAAAAACCACCGTGGGTCCATCAATAGGTTCCTATCACCCTGAGAGACTTAGATCCAACAGTTTTAATGTTCAAAGCACCTGAGCAGGGACACGCTCTCTCTGACACACAGACAGGTCCAGCTATCCTTGCCGGACAAGTCCTATCAGGACTTGTCCGGCAACAATCAAAATGTGCTCCATGGAATTGGCAGTCTGCCTTTCCTCTGAATCTCTACCGTGTTTCCCCGAAAATAAGACACTGTCTTATATTTTTTTTGGCCCAAAAAAAACACACTAGGTTTTTTTTTCGGGGTTGGTCTTTTTTTTTTTTTAATGTACAACAATCCAAAGTTAATGCAAATCCAAATGAAATAATCCAAAATGGCAAAGTTAAGAATAGGGTGATCAGGGCAATCAGGGGTGCCGTACCTTTCCAAGAGCAATGTTGTAACCAATTGCTGGCCAGAATGAGCAAAGCTCGCTTTCACTATCGATTCCTCACAGGTGGAGTGCATTTGGTAACACTCCGCCTATGACAGGAGCCGGCTCTATAAAGGAAGCATTGGCGTATCTGGCTCTGCTCCCTCCACTGCCGCCTCACTTCCTTTAGACCTGGCACCGCTGATTCTCTCCCGCGGCTCTTCAAGTTCCCCCTTATGTGACCATTCCCACCGGCCCTGGGAATGGTCACAACTAGGTCTTATTTTCGGGGTAGGTCTTATATTTTAGCAATTCCCAAAAATAGTGCTAGGTCTTATTTTCGGGGTAGGTCTTATTTTCGGGGAAACAGAGTATTGGACAGCCAGTAACAACACAAGGCAAAGAACTATGTTCCCCTACCTGGGTCTTTGCTAACTTCACCTTAAAGCAGGCATTGAAGAACCCGTGGAGGGACATATCTCCTCCTGCCAACCTGGCCTGGTTTGCAGACACCGTGTTACAATACCAATACAGCTAATACAACCACGAGAGAGAAAAAGGATTTTAGAAGGCCATGGACAGGCTATTGATCTCTAGACAACAGCAGGATTGCTCAATATGTCCGTAGAACTCCTCATGAAACACAAATATCAGCCAGTGTTTCCTGCTAATAACACAGATCAGATTCCTGGCATGCCCGGCTGCACACAGAAATGACTGTTCGGGTGTAAAATGCAGAACTGACTTTTACAGCTTGATAAAAGATAAATCATAAAAACTCAGGGCCGTCTTTGATATTGATTGGACCCTGGGCAAACATTTTCTTGGCCCCCCACCAAGCCAAGCCTGCTAACTGCCATGCAGTTTCTCTCTCCACCCCAACATCCCAAATCAATGTATTCATTTTTTTTTTTTTTAAATGATTGGCCCAGTAACTTAAGGAGTGTGACAATCAGCCAGCGCTGCAGATATATAAAAAATGTATCTGCGTACACTGCGTAACACTCCTGCAGTTACTGTTTGTGAATCACCCCCCTCTGCGGCATTCACAAAGTCCGAAAGAAGTGACATTTCAGACAGATCAGTTGTTCTAGGCACATATGATCGGTTCTCCTGCACTTGCTCAGTATGCCGATCTGCCCTGGAACAGCCGACAAAGCGTTGGAATGCTTGACCCAATAGGCGGTCACACATTCTATCACAGAAATCACTGCGCTGGGAATGCGTGCCTAACTACCTGATTGGACCAGCCGCAACAATGTGTATAGGTGAACAAATGTAAAGCAAATATGTATAAAAACTGCTACATTCCCATCAGAAATGCACATGTGTGAACTGTCCTATCTACCAAAGAATGTGATTCATGTGCATCTGTCAACAACACAGTGTCATCCCTCCCCCTTAGTGTGCTGAATGGACAATAAAGGAGCAAGGACACCCTGATAAGTCAGCAACTCTGTTCTCCTCCTGTCTGTATGTTCCCTGTTAGCAGCAGAGCCTGATTGTTTCTTAGTACTGCGCTGCCCTCTCTAAACCTAGCCATACATCTATAGATGATCTGCAGATTTTCTATGGTCAGATGGAAAAAGTGCAACAGATTCCTCCATCTACGCTAAACTGTGTGGATGGAGGAATTTCCCACTGGGCCAAGCCTTAGTATCTTGCTAGTTGGCCCCGTTGGCTCTGTAAACACCTGAACAATACCTGTATCCAATCACATTGATCAGGTATTTTGAGAGCCAACAAGGCCAACTAGCAAGATACTGAGGCTTGGTTTCTACACCCTTCTGACGAAGCCCCAGCTGGGGAGAAACGCGTAAAGGGATTAGCGTGGTATTTTCCTCTTACCCCGGCTCATGGACATTCCCTTTATCAGAATTTATCTTACACTCATGAGTGACTCTATCATGATTCATATCATAGATACTTATCGATACTTTGATATTTTCCTGGAGTTACTGGATGAACCATCTGCATTGACAACGGTAGATAAGTATACGCATACTCATAGTCATCCGTACATGTAACCCGGAACTCGCTGGGAATATCTCTGCTGGGATCCATATCTCCACTGACAAAGTCCGTGTCCACTGATACATTTATTCAGGGCTTTACCTGTTATTATCCAACTTACAAACATTTCACACCTTTGGAGATGTGACACGGATTGGATCCTGGCGTTTTGGATACAGGGATATCATGAGTTTGTTGGCTCGTATATGTGCTTTACACAGACTTGATCCTGTTACAGAGGATCCGTTTGATCCATTTTTTCATATATAGATACGAGGAGCCTTGTGGAGAAATGTTTTCTATTTACATATGTTATAGAGTCTGATCTCTAATTGATTTGGTAGATCTGAGGGGTCCATACAATAAATATCCTTTATATATGGTTAGCTGAGTGTAATGAATGTGCAATACTGTATGTACATTTTACATGTTTTTAAACACGGTACTTTGTCTTGTCTGTTTAATAAATTATATGCATTTTATACATGACAACATAGTTGCAGTATGAGTTTTGTGTTGGGATCTCCTTAAAAGGGGATATGTGGATTTTTTGATAGTATATAGGAGACCCACCATTAAAAATATATACTATTAAGATTTTTGTGATTGGAACCCTCCTTCCTCTATGTATATATAAAGTTTTGGTTATCTCCAACCTTCATTGAGGTCCAGTTTGATCATGATGGACGACGGGGACGCACCAAACCGTCTTCATCTTTGCACTTGTCAAATGTACCATTTTCCATTGGCATAAAAAGCATATTGAGAAATGAAGGCGTGCCAGGCTTATTGGAACAGTATTGGACGATGGAGTGGAATCTACAGGCAATAGACAACCATGACCTAAGACGCGCAGCTCACCTAATCTTGTGTTTTTAATATATAT